CCTAGGGTAAATGACTAGAGCACTATATAATAATCAGTACTAAATTCTCAATGCCCTTTCTGAGGATGTTGCACAGGAATTCAGCATGCAATAACCAAACTGAAACAGAAAACTGAAAAGATGGGAAATATTTTCTTTACTCAATATGCATTTTCCTTAATATACTAAAAGATATTTCTACATATAGCATATATATTTGATGGTATATTTTAATACACACTATCCTTCTGTATTCTCTATGGACATATGGCACCTGTCACTTAAAGCTTTGTTTTCTCCTGCTTTGTTTTGGTTCTTCTGCATGATGTAAGACCACAGGTTAGTGCATGATTAACAGAATTCTTTTTTAACTCAGTTTAGCAACAGTCCCATGGTTTTCATACAATTCCACTGATGCATCTTGGTTTTAATATCTGCACCACATATGAAAACCAGTCTAGAGTGTATATCACTAAATTTCCAATCCTGAGCTAGGATTTAGAGGCAAAAGTGTCAAATATCAGGATTTAGAGCAATTCACATTTTTTTCTAATCCTACTATCACACATAGCAATTTCACTTAAGCTTATTTTTTGAAATATCCACCATTCAGTGCAAAAAAAAAAGATGCACGAAAACATGCTCTGTATGAGCAGCAGTTGCATTGCTTCTGCTAACTTGAAGGCTAAAGTAAAGAATAGAATGAGCCTATGAGAACTAGCCCTATCATCAGTTTATGTAACATGAATTAGGTTAATTCATTTGACAAAAATAACAAAAGCTGGTAAAATACAGCTGTTACGGGACCTGCAGAAAACTAACTCATTTTTAATGTGTCCCTTGAATCGTAGAATCATAGATTATGTTGAGTTGGAAGGGATCCATCAGGATCATTAAGTCCAACTCCTGGCCCTGCACAGGACATCCCAAGAATCACATCATGTGCCTGAGAGCTTTGTCCAAATGCTTCTTCACTGAAGAGTAAAGTTTCAGGTGTAAATTTTGCAGTAAGTTGTCATAATTTTTTATGGAAGGTAGATGACCGAGTATCTCAGAGTTAAGGATTTTGAAACACAGAGTACCTACTATACCACTAATGAATATTTATATTTCTCTGAATTATTAATTTTAATTCCCAGGAACATTTACTTTTATCTATACAAAATTCTTGTGGGTTTTTTTTTTTTCTGATTTCCTCATGTTGATTTGAATAATAGGGCTTTGAGAAACCTGGTCTAGTGAAAGGTGTTCCTTGCCCATGGAAGGGAGATTGGAATGAGATGATCTTTGATGTCCCTTCCAACCCTAGTCATTCTGTGATTCTATGACTCATGTAAAGACTTATTGGCTTAATAACTACTTTTCAAAGCACTTAGTAGTAGTCGTCTTCAAACTGTGAATTTATTTTATCTAAATTTTATTTTTGTCCTCCAGAAAGACAGCAACTGTCTCAGGGTTCAAACAGTGTGAGAGTGATTCTAAATATAAAGTGTCATTCAGGGAAAACTATTGTCTAATATCAGGTCAGAAGTAAAACACATCCTGCGAGGCATTCATTGCATCACTGCAGTCATGGCTCACAATAAAACCATTCTTGCCAAATGCCTGTGGACATCTTCCAAAACAAACGTAGGAGACAGAATGTAGAATTGTTCACTCGAATCACCCCACCCTCCTCTGGATGTACGAAAAAGTTCCCTCCATACGGTGCTGCAGACAATCTATATAAATGTGAGGGCACTGGCAGCCAAGGTCACGACCTGTTGGTGCTGAGCCAGAGAGATGGAGTTTACCCACACTGCTGGGATATTCACCCTCACACATACCATCCAACTTCCCAGTAGGCAAAAGGGTGCACGTGACAGCGTGACTCGTTACCGTGACACCATGTACACTTTACAACTACACCTGTTCCAGGCCTTCCACTCTTCCTGAGGGAACACAAAGATCAGACATCTGTAAGGAAGAGCAGGATTTTACAGCTGAGTCCCCTCTGTCACTACGAGGCAGAAGGGGAAAGACATGGACTTCTGGCATCCACTCTTTAATTCACACTGTATCACATGCTTGGAGTAGCCTGACACAGTCACACTCTGTCCTTAACCTGAGGTCAATAAAGAAGAATCAGCCAGAAAGAGCAGAATGTAATTGCCAACTTCCCTTCATTCTGCTCAGATTACAGAAGGAAATCAAACTGAAACTAAAAAACCCAAACCCAAAGCAAACAACTGTGTTTATGTGCTATTGAAACCAGTTATTTGGAAAATAAAAATGCACTGCAAGTATTTATGTGCTTAAAGAATGTGTTTCAAGTGTGTTCACTACCTTATAAATATTAAAAAAACCCAAACCCATGGGGTTGTATTAAGAGGTGGAAAAACCTTCCATTTGAGTTCAGTTTAGAGAACAAGAGGTCAAAAAGCTGCATGTACAACAAGAGTACCATTTGCAGGAATCTGCATTGCATAGGCAGTTGAAAACAAGTAACCTCTTCATAAATGTAACATTTTGGGGAAATGAATTCAACTTTCTCATAATTAAGTTCTCCAAAATCAATAGGAGACTTCATTATTTCTGCCAGGCTGGAAATTTTTATAGCAGGTATATCTAACTTCCAGAATCACTCCTTCTGTCATGAATAATATATACAAGGCTCCCAACTAGCACTTAAGCTTTATTTTCCTTCCCCCCCCCCCATTTCATATGTTCTTCAGCAGGAGAATAGAATAGTTAACAACTTAAGATGTATTGTGTAGACTTGCCTCAGTGAAATCTGAGTCAGAAGCAGAAGAAATTAGTCCACACAGATTATCCATGCTCCTTCCTTTAAAGGAAGCTAATTCCTCTAAAACTGTCTCAGTCAAGTGTGGCTTCACACCTCTTACTGTAAAGGTTCAACCACAGCTCCACCCTTCCTTCCCCTGCAGGCAGCTTCCCTAGGACAATGCCCACTATCCATACTCTGCAAATAGTAGCGCTCATGTATTGTACAATAAATACCACAGAAAAAAAATGGTCTATTCAAATGCTGAGTAGGAATGTAAAAGAAGAGAGAGTACACTTGTTGAATGACCTAGGAAGAATAAGCTATTCTCCCTGACTCTGTATTTTCTAGTGTCAGATTAAATTATTTCCCCCTTGAGTCTGATTTACTTGCATGTCTACAGCAGGTTAAAGAAATATCACAGGTTATTGCTACCAACCCTTCTGTTCCTTCTTAGACACACACAGGCATTGCTAAAGAACACCTAAGGAAATGGTAGATCTGCACCTCCTAGAAAATCTCTGTAACTCAGTGATCCTTATAAACTGTACATAGGTGCAGTAGTATTTCAGGTTTTGCATAAATATCAGTCACATTCCTTCCTCCCTTTCTGGGTCCTGAGAGATTTCAACCTTTGTTGGAAATAATCACATCTTATCTTGAGTTAAAATACACTCAGAACACAATACTGCAGTTTTTAAAAGATACAAAAGAAATAACACGAACCCCACACTTTTCCTAGGAATTATACTGATTAATTCAGATTTAACTAAGATTCCATGGGATTCATTCCTTGAATTGCTAATCTACATGGAGATCCTGTAGCCTTGCATGAGCTTTCCTAGCGACCTGCAGCTATTGCCAGTGGCATTAGAGTAGAAGTTCCATGTAGCATACACCATGAGAAGTGAGGGAAGTTGAGGAGGGATATCTGACAAAGCCAGGAGGGATCACTATAATCTTCTAGTACAAACTGCTGTGAATCCTTCTCTAAGGTTTGCAGCACACTCTTGAGTAAATTTATCTCTAAACTATAGCTAAGTTCTAAGGCAAAATGCCAGTCTTGGCTATAAAATTTAATAATAGAGAATTCTTCATAATATTTGATAAGTGGTTCCAGTGTTTCATTACTCTGTCTTGAAAATGTGCATTTTACCACTAAACTGTACTTGTCTCATTTTAGATTTTGTAATTATGGGCTGCAATGAAATCCCCTGCTATTAGTGCTGTTCACATCCCTGCCAAGGCTTTTAAGTGCCAGCTGAAGCACTAACAAACAAAACAAAGAAACTTCGGAAGAGCCGGGTAATATGTCAGGCAGAGCATTACCAAGTGGCAGCAAACCAGATTTTGCTTATCAGGGAGTAACAGTGGCAAAACACCCTGAGTTTGGACACAGACCAGTAATGGGGAGTCACAGCGCAGGCAAATCAGTTTAATGGTGTCTGCGGGGGCTGATTTACTGGCACTGTGTCATTGGCAACTTTCGGATTGCTCCAGTCAACATAGTTGGCTTCTGCAATTCCATCACGGGTCTTGCAACACCAGGGGTTTTTCCTGAAGCGCGAGTTACCAGCAGGTACGCAAGGTAGGGAGACCACGATTCCATTTTATTAAGTCAATGAATATTTCTGCGCAACGCAGGGCAAAGCTTCAAGAGATGAAAAGCCGCTTTGGGGCTGTATCATAGATAAAAATATCATATCTCGGCCAATGCTGTGGTCACTCAGTTTTGCAGTAATACAGAATACGCGGCAGTATTCCCTCTGAACACAAAGATTCCCAGCGGACGTTCCGGTTCGGCGTACCCCGAGCGGGGACATCCCGCCTCAGAGAGCGAGGGGGTTGTTCCGATTACGAGAGAAACACGTTTCGCTCCAGGGAACGACGCCTCAGGGCACAAGTGACCCCAGGCTGGTGCCCGGGAGCTGGTTCAGCGGGATCCCCCGGGAACCACACGGTCCCCGCTCGGGAGCCGCCTCAGCCCTCCCGCCTCCCCCCTCACGCCAAGGGGCGCCGGGGCGGGGTGAGGGGCGGGGCTGAGGGCGTGACGCGCACGAGCGTCATGTGACACACCCCCTCGCGCGCCCCCGGCCCCGCCCCTCCCGCTCCGCCCCCGCCGCGCCCCGGGCGCTGATTGGCCGCGTACCGACAATGCGCGCGGCAGCGCCCCCCGCCCCGCCCCCGCCGCCGGCTTCACCCGCCAGCCACGCGCCGCCGGCCGCGAGCTGCCCGTGCGGCGCCGGCGCGGCCGTTACGGGCGTTGAGCGACCGGCCCGGGGCAGCCGAGCGGGCACCGAGCGGGGGCGGGCGGGCTCATGGCCGCGACCGACCGGACAGCGCTGGGGCCGCTGGTGGGAGCCATCGATCAGGGCACCAGCTCCAGCCGCTTCCTGGTGAGCACAGCGCGGGGAGATCGGGGCGGCGCCGGAGGCAGGCAGCACCCCCCATACGGCCTGAGGGGGGGACCCGCGGCTCCTGCGCCTTCTCCCCCCTCCGCCCCGGCGAGGTCCTTGGCCGTGCCCTTGGGGAAGGGCAGGGGGAGCGGGCCCGCAGGGCCGGGGTGCGCTGACCCGGCTCCTGCCTCTGTGCCGCCGGTGGCCCGGGGGTGCCGGAGCCACCGGTGTTCCCGCCGGTGTTCCCGCCGGTGTCCCCGTGCCGCATTCCCGCCGGGAGCAGCGCCCGTCTCACGGAGCGCGGCCGGGAGCGGTCCCGGGGCGAGCCCCGGACCAGCGTCTCTGCTGCTCCACGGGACCGCGAAATCCCGCTGCTCCGAGCAGGCTGCGCTTTAAATCTCTGCCCTTTTAAATCTGCGGGTCGAGTGTCTCACCCTGAACGGAATCAAACGGACGTGGTCCTCAGGCATTAGAGAGGTAGATCCGTGCGAGTTCAGGGACTGTGATTAGCTGCTGTTCAAACAATGCGATGACTCCGCTGTGCTCCCCTCTAAAACCTACCCGGGCCTGCTGAGTGACTGCCGCGGTTCCAGCCCTCATGTCAGTGCATCCTGTGCACTGTAGGTATTCAGGTGGCTGAACCTGCACACCTTCGTGAAACACCGGCTTGTTTAAACACTGCAGGAAGAGAAGTTTGTTTAAGGATGGAACAATTAATATATTAATCGTATATATAAGCCTTGAAGGATCTAGTTATTTGTATATTATGCAATAGACTGCAACTAATGTTATTATATATGAAAGGTATGGTATAAACTTCCTGCTTGCAAATCTCTACAAATGCCCTGTCCCTTAGTCAGAAAGTCATGGTAATTTGACTTACTTGAATCCCACTGATAAATTCCTCCATGAAAGGGATAGAGATAATGACTAGATATAAAATGTTGTCAGATATGCACAGTATTGAATTGGGAAGTTGAATGTTTTGGTTTGCTTTCTCTTTTTTTTTTTTCTTTTTTTTTTTTTTTTTTTTGGTGAAATGTTCTTTCATGAAGCAGGAGACTAGAATATCTTCTTGACCTGTGTTACCGTTGTTACTCAATATCACGACCTTCATGGGATTGTCAAATGACAAAACACAGATCTGGGGGTGGAGAGAAACTCCAAACTGACAAATGACACCAGTAGGCTGTCCTGAATGCCAGTCAGGAGTCCTTTTTGGGAACAAGTCTAAAGAAGTTCCCTGTAACACATGAAGATAAATTCTATCAGCTCTTACATATACGCCAAGTTGATTTTTTCTTGTCCTGAAAGGATAACACGAGTAGAACTAAAAGAGACACTGCAAACTTTAAATTTATATGCACGTGCTTTTTACAAGTTCCTCTTACAAGGAATTTCTTACACTAGAAACATTCATTGATGGCTTGTACGCAGTCAGGGGGCATTTTGCCTGTCTGCATGAGATATGTTTCCTCTGTTTGAAGAATCAGGTGCTCCCTAATTTTTTCAAAAAGTGTAGTGTGTCTGTCACTCTTCAGTTCTTCTTGTATCTGTCTCAGTTTCTCTCAACTCATGTCAAAATACAACATTTTCTTAAACTTGGCAGTGTGATCATACTATTGTGATAATGAAGTTACGTGGATTAGAGCAAATAAGATATGTGATCACTGAGTTAAATCAGAACATGGGGGAGAGGGAAAGAAGAGGGCAAAGTGTGCAGGGATCTGCTACAAGCCACATTGGTCATGCAGATAACAAGTGTATCTGGAGAATTCTGTGCTGGAAGGGGACTGCTGCAGTTACAAGAGAGACTTCGCTCTGAAATATTTTAAGCCAAAATATAATGTAGTGTTGTATGTACCTGAGTTGTTTCCTTGGCTCTCTTATTGCCTCTTGATCTTTTACCATTAGTTGTTTTGCTGGCCTTTCTCAATGATCTCTCTACATTTTTTTTTTCTATAGTGCTTCCGACAATTTTTGTCTCTGCCAAGTCACAAGCCAAAATCAAGTTGTTGTTTACTTTGCCTGTGTAGTTTTTTAAGGTGGAAGACAGATGATTTCGACCAGGTTAAAGAGTTCTGGGTGAAAAACTGTCTGGTCCTATGAGGCCGAAGAGTAGCGTCAACAGTTCAGTCTAAATTTACAATTACTGGTGGCAGATTTACCAGTGGCGTTCCACAGCAGTCAGCAGTGAGGACTGATACCCCACAGTATTTTCATCAACAGCTGTGAGGATGGGTTCAGATGCCCTCTCAGATGGAGGCAACCAGTTGTCTGCACCTCTCCAATCATAGTTTGTAGAGAACACAGAACCAGCCTTTTCTCAGACATGCATAGAAAAAGACAACACACGATGAACACAAGTTGTAGCAAGTAAAGTTTCAAATAGATGGAAAGAAGAAATGTTTCACTATAAGGGCCCAGAAAGTCTGTGGAATTTCCAGCCTTGCGGATACTCAACACCTCATGAGAAAAGGCCCAGAACAACATGATCTTAAATTTAGTGAACAGTGAGTTGAGCTAGATGACCTCCAGAGATTAGTTTCAGAACAAATTATTCTGTGTAGGGGCACAAGTTTTCAGTCTGTTAGTGAATGAGGAGTCTGTGTGAGCACAAGTGATTAAGAAGTACCAGAACTCAGGTGCATTTCTGTTACTGTCACTCCTTATTTATCTTTACCTCTTATGCAAAACATACATGCAGTTTTAGTTTATGCTGTAGCTTTATCCTTCAGGAACCCTATTCTGTATCTCTACTTTGATAAGCTACTTTTGCAAAATTAACTATGTAACTATTTTTGAGCTTGCAACTTTTCTGTTAAGTTGGGTTGAACCTGGATAACAGATTGAGAGTTACCAGAGAGAGCTCAGTGGTTCAAGTACGAGTGCAATTATTTAAGGCTCATTTTCTTAAAGATACAAAGCAGCAAAATAAATTGAGTAGGCTAAACAAGTGTACACAGAAGACTAAATTCTGGCTGAGATGTTTTGTCAAATATTTTCATCAAATACTTGCATTTCTCATGTTCCATTTTACATTATTCATGAATCATATAAAAATCCACTATAACTTCTTTTGCAAAAGTCTAAGGCTCAACAGCTAATGGTGAGCTGAACCACTGTTTGATCTCTTGAAAAGTATTTGCTGGATAAAGTCTTTCTGACATTTTATCCAGGAACAGCAAGAATTGAAATATACAGTGAAGTACCTGTACAGTACTAGGTTTGTCAGGCAGACACAGAAAATTTTTTTCTCACCCTTATGAAATATTTCTTTCTTCCTTTGTTTCATCTCCAGAAGAAGCATTCAAATAAAGATATATCACACTGCAAGCATTCTTTTCAATAAACAAAAACTGATTTTAGGTAAGGAAGAGATTAGTACCTATAGAACTTACCTTTCAGAGGGGAATTCATTTCACCTCTCTACTGAAGTAACATGACCTTTTGGGAAAAAGCAAAACTTGATTGCATAACTAGCGAAAAAGGGTTAAAAATATTGCAAATACATTTTTTTCTCTAGCTCTTATCACTTAAAATGCAGTGCAGTTTTGCGCTTTAATCCCATAATCATGAGCAAGGGAGGTCTGTTCATCAGGAGTCTTCCAAGAAAGATGATTTCTAGGAGACTCATTAAACTGTACTTATTCATAAATTCTGCATTCCTGGTTAAATGCTAAAGAGAGAATTATTGTTTGTCTATCATCCTTACCTCAGCTGGGTTGATTTCAATGCAATTGCAGAACTCCAGTTCTGAGCTTGTTTGCCTGCAAAGCTGTGGCTGTTCCAGCTTAACAGAAACTCATGAGGATACAGCACAGACTAACAAAAATAGCTTTTCTGTAGGCAGAGTTAGGTTACAAAAGTTGAGAGTCATGGAAAGTTACTTCTAAAATCTGTTTTCTATATTGTCTTTTCAGGTGTGCAGCTTCTTGCATCACTTCTGTGAGCCTCATATTTCTTTTCATTCTTTGAAAATTGTAATAATGGATTGATAATAATTTTTTTCCACTAAGATAATAAAAACTGAATGTAATATGTAATAATATGTAATACAAGTAACTGCACCCCTTCATGTGATGTATTATATTAAAGATCCTATAAAGAGCTTGAATTAAGTGCTCAGCCCTTATGCTTGTCTGCTTGCTCACATACAGCATGGCTAAGTAGGTCTTTCTTCTCTCCAGTCTTGAGACTCAAGGCTCAAGCTCTAATTCTTTGTTGGGAGTGGAGAATGGGTGTTATTTATGCCTTCTTTATTCTCTCACCAGATAATTTAGCACATATCTGGTGACTTTCACTTTCATCTCTATTCAAGATAGCTCTACATGTCCAAATAGCGTAGACAATTCTTTCATGACTACTGCTGATAAAATAAGGACAAAACTGACTTTGACTGTTTCCCCCATTCTACAAAATGCAAGAGATCGGTATCATAAACTTGAACCAGTTCTTAATCAATATGAAAGGAATGAAAGCCTCTATTCCCAACAAATTACAGAAATATACTTCAAACCTGTTCCAAGAGGAATATATCGACCTTATCTGAATTATTCACAGAGTCACAGAATATACTGAGTTGGAAGGGACAAGGATCATCGAGTCCAACTCTTAGCCCTGCACAGGACCATCCCCAAGAGTCACACTATATGCCTGAGAGTATTATCCAGATGCTTCTTGAACTCTGTCAGGCTTGATGCTGTGACCACTTCCCTGGGAAGCCTGTTCCAGTGCCCAACCACCCTTTCTGGGTGAAGAACCTTTTTCTAATATCCAACCTAAACCTCCCCTGACACAACTTCAGGTCCTCTCACTGGTCACCAAAGAGAAGAGATCAGTGCCTGCCCCTCCTCTTCCCCTCACGAGGAAGTTGTAACTGCAATGTGGTCTCCCCTCAGTCTTCTCTTCTCCAGGCTGAACAGACCAAGTCACCTCATCTGCTTCTGGTACGGCTTCCCCTCAAGGCCCTTCACCATCTTCATTGCCCTTCTTTGGACACTCTCTAACAGCTTAATATCTTTCTTATATTGTGGTGACCAAAGTTGCACACAATATCATACTTACTGTCACTTACTTCCCTATCTCACCAGTTGAAGAAAAACAGGGATTATATAGGAGAATTTTTTCTTACAACAATTGGGAGGTTTTGGAGGGAGTGGGCAAGGAAGGCTGTGAGGTCCCATTTGCTATATTTATTCCCTACTTTATTTATCATCTTTTATGTTTAAATTTAATGACTCTTTCATATTTGGCATCTTTTCACGCATCAGAATTCTATTTATCAGTGTAGAATCATCGAATCATAGAATGATTTGGGTTGAAAGGGACCTTTTTTTTGCATACCTTCATGTCAAGCCTGAGCTGGTACATGAAACACAGATAAGTAAATATAGCAAAAAGAATATGGTGGTGCTCTCTCTATGTAATCTTTCCAACTGGTAGGAGAAAAGAACAATCACATACCTTTTTAAGACTTCCCTTCTCGGCAGTGGAGAGTGAAAATTAGCTTTCAGTGTTTTCCAGAGGTTGTGCTGTTTTCATCATCGGAGGTTTTCAAGACTTGCCTACGAAAAAAGCCCTTGAGCAACCTGGTCTAATCTCATAGCTGATCCTGCTTTGAGCAGGAGGTTGTACTAGAGATCTCTTGAGGTCCCTTTCACCCTGAATTTTTCAGTGATTCTACTGTATAAGTAGAATGTTTCTAAACTTCAAAGTTTTACTCTGAAGATACACTTCAATGTTCCAAAGAAACTGGAGAATCAGAACTTCATCTCCTTTTTGTCAGAATTGTTCTAATAGTTTCAGAGTAAAGTGTACTGTCTAAATGTAATCAAGAGCTTATGGATTAAAAGCTTTAAGAGAAATTCCTAAAATTTGTGGAATGAGAAGAGAGCATTAGCAAGGAAGTCTAGAAAAGATGAAGTTGTATCCTGGAGGGCGGATGGATATAACTGAATTTTGTTTCTTTAGCATGTGAGTGGTTTCTAAATCTGGTTCACTTCTGCTTGTCATAAAAATTAATATGATGTCCTTCTGACATGTTCTGCAGTTCACCTGAACCTGTTGTTAGATTTCACTTTCCAGGTCCCCGAACATTCTTCAAGCAAAAGATTCTGCATGATGCTTGTGAGAAAGAGCCCTTTACACAGGAATGTCATCATTGCCCACTCAGTTACTCTGGGTTACTCATTGTACAGTTGAGTTGGATATTTTACCAGGTGTCATCTTAACTTGGCCACAGCAGAGATTCCTTTTGGAAACAGGCTGCTGATGGTTAATGAAGATTGTTGAGCATTCCACCTGACCTTCTACTGCAAGGCAGAACCTCTAACTTGTGATTCCTTAAGAACACCTGTTAAAATAGTCCTCATGATTCTCCACTCTGCTGGTTTTTGTTGTAGTATATCCAAATTTAAGCTACTTTTCTGCATGTTCTTCTCTTTTTTAATGTATTCTGTTGCTGCAGTGACATTCTTTTCTTATCAGGTTGTTCATGAGCTCTGTACTTGTAGATTTTTTTGAGGTAAACTGGGTTCTACCCTGGGTGCTTTTTCTCTCTTCACAGTTTGGTCCCTTCTGTGATTTCTCACAGATTCTTGCTCTTCTTAAAAGTGAGCTAACCCAAGAAAACACATAGCTCTGGCATTACACTATCACAACAGCAACTAAAGAAATGTTATTGCCAACACCAAGGGGTATTTTACTGGGAGATATTCTAAAATGCATCTACAACCACCACAATAAAAAATTTGATTCTTTCCCAATCCATCAGGAAAAAAAAACCAGTTATAATTGACAGACTGACAGCAAAGTTTACCAAAATACTCTTTGCCTATCTTAATTACAAAAATGCATATATTTGAACCTAGGTTATATAGATAGCGGAGTTGCTGATAGAAAATTACTATCCATTATCACAGCACTGTATTTGTTCAAAAGAATAAATGTTAATTGATTGTTTAAACTTCTGTGTTCACAGAAAATTTCATTGTACAATTTATTTGCAGGTTTTTAATGCAAAAACAGCAGAGCTCTTGAGTCACCATCAAGTTGAAATAAGTCAAAAATTCCCTAAAGAAGGGTATGAATTTTTTTTTTGTTTTTTTTTTATTTCTGTAGAGCTTATGTATTTTTATCTATGAGTGATCAAAACTCAAGTTGATTAATAATTATTAAGAGCATAGTATCAGCCATTAAAGACTGTATTGTAGGAAAAATGGCATAAAATAACTCACACTGGGTGTTCAGTATATGCCTTGAGTTACAAAAAATAAAAATACTTAGTGTTTTGCTCTGATCACTCGTTACCATATTTAATGTCTAAACTTCAAAGTTTAAAACTAAAATTTAAATGAGACTTAGCATCTCATTTAAGGGGGTCATTTTTACAATTTAATCATAGTCTTCAGCTCGATCCATAGAAATATCTTAGTTTGTTTTCTGAATGAGTTTTTTTTTGGTTTATTTGTTCCTAACTGACCTACCATTTGCTGCCAATGTCCCCCATGTGGAATAAAACAAAACAAAATTCTTTGCTTTCTGCAGATGCATTTTTGTTAAAATGCAGCTTACAGTTTAAAAAGGGTTTGAAATTCCTTATACTTTTCCTAGATACGTAAAACATGTTTTGTAGTTATAATTGTATCAAAATGTTCAGCTTATTTTTCAGACTAGAATTTCTTTTTTTAATGTAATTTTTTTGCTAACTGGTGTTTACTGTTTGTTAAAGATGGGTGGAACAAGATCCAAAGGAAATATTAAACTCTGTCTTTGAATGTGTGGAGAAGACCTGTGAAAAACTGAAACAACTGAACATAAACATCTCTAACATAAAAGGTACTTAGGGGTAACTGAGGCCTTGAACTTACTCATGGTTGAGCAATTCAGATTCTCTAGTTTTTAAGTTAATAAATAGAAAGGTGGCAACATGTGCAGCCTCAAATAAAATGTTAAATTGGAGTTAAAAGAAGGTTTTTTGGGAGGAATAAGGAGAAAATAAGTCCCTTATGTATATTAGCAATGCAGACTTAACCTAATCTTGTAAAATCAAAGACAAGTGATAAATGAAGAAATTCTGAAATTTAATTTAGGACTTACTGGGAAAAGCTAGGTTTGCTGTCAGTGTTGTTGCTATCTCAGTTTGTGACCAAAAAAAGAGAGATTTAGAGCATATAGGTCAAGCAGCAAAAGTTGAAAGATGAGTTTTTAGAAGTAACATTTCTAGATTATAACATAAAGAAGTTGGAAGCTTTTTATTTCCCATTTACTTTCCTCTTTTCCTTACCTGTCCCTCTCTCCTCTCCACCTCTCCTTTCTGCCCCTCACCACCCCCCCCCACCCCCCAAAAGAGGAAATCAAACCTTCTGAAAAGGATACTTCTTTCTATTTTGTCCTGAAGCCATTGGAGTCACTAATCAGAGAGAAACGACAGTGGTTTGGGACAAGACAACTGGAGAACCTCTGTATAATGCTATTGGTAACTACTATCCTTTCTGAATATGTAATATCATAATACAAGCACGTTGTGGAAAAAATACTTTCCCAGTTTCCTGTACAGATCTCGTTATGGCCTAGCCTACTAATTTCTTTGATTTTTTGATATCTGTGTCATAAACTGTGTGTTTGTATACATACCAGTGCATTAAAAAAACCCTATTCCATGAAAATTCTAACTTAATAAATATCTTTATGGGTTTTCAAAAAGCCCCCAGTGTTCCTGAGGGGCTCCTTAGTTCCTTGCATGTAATGAAGTTCTGACTTGTGCATAATCACTTCCTTCAGAATTTTCAGAATGCTATTGATTTAACTATAAAGGAAAATCATGTTAAGTGGGTTTAAAGAATCCTATTGGTCAGATTTTGCCAGCTGAAAAATAGTAATTGTCTAGAATTGCTCTTTTAGGCTGTGTCAAGTGACAGATACAGTTTAGAATGGTATCACTGAAAAAACAGAACTCTTCTATATTCAAATATGTGTAGTTAACAGCTTTATCTTAAGCCCAGCTATACCTTAATAACTGACATGGTCCTTTAGTTCAAAGTTTATAAAGGAATAGTAAATAATCAACCTGCTATTTGTTTTTTAACCTCTTAGTTTAGTCACAGTCATCTGCTGCAAAGTAGCGTTAGTCATTTGCTTATACTCTGATCAACTATATATCCTATTATGTAGAAAATTCTGTTTGATTTCTCAAATAATTTGTTCTTCTAAATCAAATGAGTTTACCTAACCATTTTTAATTTTTACAACAATGCATTTAAAATACACTAGCAATACAATATTCTTTCAACTACATGAAAAGATAAAAATAGACAGAAATTTACTGGCAAGAGTTGTAATTCTGTAGAAGTAGCCTGTACATGTCACTTTTTGTGTATTAAGTCTGTTGATCAGTTAATTTTATTCATGTTTTTAGTGTGGCTTGACCTGAGAACCCAGTCAACGGTTGAACGTCTTCTTAACAGAATTCCAGGAAAAAACAAAGCCTTCTCTAAGGTAAGAGATATTCCAGAACATTTAACTGCTACAGTATATGATGTTTTGGATACATATATTTAAAATTCTCCAAAACAAAGTAAGTCAGTTGTAGCTTCTAGTCCCTCCTTAGCTTGCCAAGTAATAAAAAAATGTGCATAATACACTGATCTCAGACTAGAAAATGTTTCATTTCCTAAAAATAAGTGATTAACGCTCCTTACACATTTCACTAGAGAAGTTAAATGAGTAATAGTGAGGCTCGATCATGTGCTATCCAGCCAATGATAAGTAAACATCACACACAAAAATTAAGATCATGTAGAAAAAAACTGTTTGGGAAATAATTTATTGATGTGAAATTAATTACCTATTCTCATCTTATGCCTTAATATTGAAATCTATTGCAGCCAATCTGATAACTGGAAAGACAGTTCACAAAGAGCAAATTCATTTTTATATATATGAGTATATATATAACAACTTGGAAAAAATGCTTGCTAAAAGGTGTCACAATTCTTTGATTAATATTGTCCTTGACTGATTGTATAAAAATTATGCATTTTTTATATTCTAAGTTTCTTGTAGGCAGGAAATGGGTGTCAAAAAACATATAACTTTTCTTCATTTTGAAATTCTAGTAGAATACAAATTTCATCTTTCCCATGTCTTGCTCATTTTTGTTGTTGTGACTTGTCAAGTCATACGGAGATGTCCTAGATAAGACAGGACTTCTGCAAACAACTTTTTCCACGTAAATGATCTTTGAACTGCATTTAGATCAGCTTTGATCTTTGTCCATTAATGCACTGGTTATTTGCTTTTGATGTTGTATGCTTAATTAAATAACAAGTTCGTGTAATTTCTCTTGAGTTTTGCATCTTTGCTTTTTCACTTACTGCCACCATTTTTAAATACAACTACAGTATTTATGGAAAAGATACTTTCATGGCATTAAAATGATTTTTTTTTAACTTTACAGTTTAAGACTGGCCTTCCACTTAGCACTTATTTTAGTGCAGTGAAACTTCGATGGCTTTTGGATAATGTGGAAGAGATTAAGAAAGCAGTTGATGATGGAAGAGCTATGTTTGGTACTATTGATTCATGGCTTATATGGGTATGTATTTGTGAATTTATTATCACTCTTTGTAAAACTAAGTTCTATGTCATGCAAATTCCCATGCAAAGTATTGTGATACAGCACTGTGATAGAGTACAGGGACACACTGGGATCACACAATTATGTTAATACAACCCACTAAAGAAATTCCATTGAAGTTCCTTGCAAGATGAACTTTTACTGTCCCTGTATCACTATATTTTTTTATAGATTCTTGTATGTAGTTTGCCATTATGTAGGTTGCTGTAAAATTTTACTCACACTTTCAGAAGAATCTTGGGCTCTAGGAAGTTGTATTAGGTCTGCCTCTTTAGTTGTTGCAGAAATATCAGAGTTCCCAGTTCCAAGCTAAAAGCTTTGTGACTTAGAATTTTTTTTGTAATTCGTTGAAGGAAGCCTATATCTTTCCTTGACAAATACTGTTATTTTTTTGTTCAGAGTTTGACAGGTGGGAAGAATGGAGGAATTCACTGTACAGATGTAACCAATGCCAGTAGAACGATGTTGTTCAACATTCATTCCTTGGAGTGGGATCCTGAGCTCTGCCAGTAAGCTCATTTTTTCAGTAATACTGTTATTTAGATACTTTCTAACTCATTTAATAGTAAGAATCTCTTATGTAGACTAAGATCAGCAGTTACTTTTTTATTTACTCTTGACATTAGTGACTAAGATTCGTTGTTCTCCAGATGTCCAGTTTATAATGGTCTGGATTAACTAAAAGTAGCAGAATCTGTCTGTAGGTGGAGGCCTGGTTCATGTAAACAGTGACATTTAATAGTTTATTACTTAATCAAATTTGTGAGGCAGTTACAATGATAATGTCTCTATTTTAAATATATATTTATTACCAACTGTATTATAAAGATATTGTTAGAAGAGGAATGACTTCCCACATGAAAGAGTTGCATATGTCCTCAAAATATTGAAATATATGCTGGTTTACTCCAAAAATCAATGTAATGTACTGTAACAAGTGGAAAAACACATAACTATGGATTAAACCCTAGAAATCAAAGTTCCTTTTATAGGTTTGGGGTTTTTTTATTTCTTAAGCTTAAACTTATTTAAGAAAAAAATCGTAAGATGTTTTCTGATTTAGCACTGACCATATATATATACTATTTTGTATTGTGTTCAGGTTCTTTGAGATTCCTATGGAAATACTTCCAAAAGTACGAAGCTCCTCTGAGATATATGGCCTGATGGTATGTTTTCTAGTATTTGTATGAAGTTAATCTTGCAAAAATATAACTGTATCAATACGGATTTGACAGAATTTCTATAGATTAAGACTAATGACTTTTTCTAGACCCATATTGTTTGATTTCTGATTAGTATGTTGTTATCTACTGTTGTATAATATTATATGAAGTTGAAAATTTGTTTACTTTGATACAGCACCAACTCTTCTGATACAGTGGCATCTAATTTATTAGCTTCAAAACTGGATAAACTATATGTTTGATTTTGCATTCTTTTTCCTGGTAGACTGTGCTATTTTTAATTAAGAACATAGAGACATTTTGTAATTAAGACAAGTTATGAGCTTTTTATTTCAAATATAACTCTAACTTCCCTGAAACGTAAATATTTTTGCTAATGTGTTAGTGGAAGTGCCACTAGAAGTCATTGCTGACTTATTTATGTGAAGGTCAGATGGGAGTGAGTTGTATTAAGCTGAATAATTGAGGTAAATGGAAAATGATACTACCTGACCACTACAACAGAATTGCTCATCACTTTAAATGTGAACTTCTGTTTCTCTTCCCCTTTTCTTCCATTTTTTTTCTTTTTCTTCCTTTTGCTGGCTGTAGAAAATCTGTCCTAGCCTGGTGAGTAGAGGTTTCCATTAGGCTGACCACATATATCTTACCCATTCTGCTCAGATGCTGTGCATTTTCATTGGTTTAAGGATTAGTAAAAATGCACTTTCTAGATCAATAAATTTGCCATGTATTTCCAAATCTGAAATATTAAAATTAAAGTTCATGCCAAAATTATTTCTAAAATGTGATCTTGATGTATGTGTTTGTCTTAATTTGCAGATTGTTGAATATTTCTTTTTATAGTGAAATAAAAAATACGGCCACTGGTTAATAGGTGTTGGCTATATCATTTTATAAATGAGAAAAGAAGGCCATTCTGTCTAAAAATATTAATTCTATTATAGTTGAATATCAGATTCATGCAGAGTTTTTTAGTGAATTTATAAATGCAGTTAACATAAATCCATTTAATTAAAATCAGAATTAAAGAAAAAAATATTCAGATTGGAAATACACTTGCATGGCTTTACTGAAAATGCATTTTCATCATCACACAAAGAAACCATTTAAAGAAAGAAGTTGAAATTGTCAGGAAATAGTTAAATAATTAAATGATACCCTCACTAAGTTTGCAGATGACACTGAGTTGGGTGGAAGTGTTGATCTGCTGGAGGGTAGAAAGGCTCTGCAGAGGGATCTGGGCAGGCTGGATTGATGGGCCAAGGCCAACTGTGTGAGGTTCATCAAGGTCAAGTGCTGGATCCTGCACTTGGGTCACAACAACCCCAGGCAACGCTACAGGCTAGGGGACGAGTGGCTGGAAAGCTGCCCAGAGGAAAAGGACTGGGGGGTGCTGGTTGACAGCGACTGAACATGAGCCAGCATGTGCTGGGGTGGATAAGAAGGCCAATGGCATCATAGCTTGTTCCAGCAATAGTGTGTGCAGCAAGACCAGGGAAGTGATCATCCCACTGTACTCAGCACTGGTGAGGCTGCACCTCAAATCCCACATTCAGTTTTGGACCCCTTGCTGCAAGAAAGACATTTGAGGTGCTGGAGCATGTCCAGAGAAAGGCGATGGAGCTGGTGAAGGGTCTGGAACACAAGTGCTATGAGTAGCAGCTGAGGGAGCTGGGGGTGTTCAGTCTGGAGAAAAGCAGACTCAGAGGAGACCTTATCGCTCTCTAAAACTACTTGAAAGGAGCTTGTGGTGAGTTGGGGGTCAGTCTCTTCTTCCAAGTAAGAAGTGATAAGAGCCTTCACAACAATGGTTGTCAAGCATTGGAAAAGGCTGTTCAGGGAGATGGTGGAGTCACCATACCTGGTCTGGAGGTACTTAAAAGACGTGTTGATGTGGCCCTTAGGGACATGCTCTAATGATGGAGTTGTCAGTGCTGTGTTGATGGTTAGACTTGATGATCTTAGAGGTCTTCTCCAACATAAATGACTTTATGATTCTGTAGCAGAAATATAACTGAAAAACTCTGTGGTAGTATTTGGAAGAAAGTCTCTATGAGGCTCAAAATGCTGTGTTGTAAAATCAGACACGTCTTCACTTAGAGCGTCACCACAGTCACAATTTTTTCTAGTCACTTTACCATTTTGCACTTTCACATTTTACACTTGGCATTTACCACACAGATTACACGGAACTTAATTATCTCTATAGTATGATTTAAAGAGGATTTATGGTAAAAACTTTTGAGGTGACATAAAGTATATCTCTAAAATTCCCTGCTTTCTGTTTCTTAGTGTTTTAGACATGAGCTGCATTAAGCTGAATTTGAGTGTACACCTGAACTGAACCATGTTATTTACATGGTTGTTTTGCTTTGAGCATTAGAAGTTTAGCTTCTTTTTCATTGCCTTCAATTGTAGTCATGGAAAGCTAACTCAGAGCTTTTTTTCTCTTTTTGCAAAACAGAAATCTGGAGCTTTGACAGGAGTACCCATTTCTGGGGTAAGTCCTACTTCAATCTAGATTCTAGTATGAAAACCTGATACTGCAGGAACAAAGCTTCACAGGAAAAAGCTTTAAGATGAGTGAGTTCTGCTATGAATTAAGTTGGTGGTTTTTACCTCAGGTTAAACATGAAGTAAAATTTGGAACATGAATTATTGGTTGGTTTGATTCATCATTATTAAGGCCTGGCTGTGGAAATACAGCTGATAGCTTTAATGCATGCGTGTAGTGCTGTTGGAAACTTAGGTTCTCTAAGTAAAGAAGTAACATTACAAAGTGGAAGCAAGCTCTGCTTCATACATATAAAAGAAGTTCTGTATATACGTAGTCCAGAAATGCTGGGCAGATTCTCAGCTTTTTCCAATACAACATACATAAAGATAGTAAATTTTATTTTATTTCTCTAAATTGTTCACCATAAGTAGTACAACACATTTCATTTTTTAGTTCTTACAAAAGGAAGAGTAATAAAAAGCATAACTTGTCTCTATAGGTTTTTCCTCACTTTCAGTTGCCTGTGTGGTGCAAATAGATTCAAGTTACAGTGAAATATATCTGTTCACAGTCCTTTTTCATGCACATAATTCATGTGCTGACATTTGCTAAAGGAAAATGTCTCCCACTTTCAGTGCTTGGGTGACCAGTCTGCTGCGCTCGTTGGGCAAATGTGTTTTCAAGATGGGCAAGCAAAAAATACGTAAGTTGTTATTAAAGTTGTAAGATAAACACTGCTCTGTTATGAATTTAGTATTATGTTATTTTTCAAGCTCACTGCCAAATGCTTTTGTAGTTAGCAGATCTACTTTTTGACTGTACTGACCTACAAAGTAAACCATGTCCTGACTTTATTATATAAAGTAGCGAAGGGGTTGAAGTTACGTGGCTTGTGAGGTATATTTTGGAACACAGCCACTCTGAGAAAAACACCTCTGTGTAACAGGAGGTTTTTCATTTTAAAATTTTCCAAAAGAGAGATTAAAACAGTTGCAGATATCATTTAAATTGTGACCTAAAGTTAAATGAATAGAAGCCTATGAGTTAAATTGCATAGACTTAAATGGCACAGCACTGCTGGATGGAAGAGGTTCATTTCAGTTGCGGTACTTAGTTTTGCTTCTCTGTCTAGCTCAGCATGGAGAATATTGCATTTGTTTTTTCCTATTTTTCAGCCTCTTCATGTCCCCTGTTTAAAATAACTTATCAGTTAAATCGGGCAACTGGTGTAATCAAACACTCATTTGAGAAAAAGCTCTCTGCTTAAATGACTTACTGTTCCATTTACAACCACGTGCTTTATGGAGCATGTAGGTACATGCACAGTATGGGACTTTCACAGGTATAATTACACATTCATCTATACTTGCGGCTAATTGACCTCCACTTTTTATTTTATATTTATGCACAAATTGAATGTTTAGTGACCTTGTGTTTTAGTAAAACAAACATGGTTCTAAGTAATATTATCACAAAGTATTTTTACAATAAATGCTTTAATAACACAAGAGACCTTTTGAAAAAAAGTGAATGGCACTAAACTAAAAGGTAACAGTAAGATTTTTTAGCTTATTTCTGTTATTGCTTTACTCTTTTTCTCTCCAAATATAACTGAAGACTATCTCAATACTGTTTTAAGCTATTAATTTTTGGGGGTTTAGAAAGGTAGGGAACTCATAATTTCTCAGAATAAATTAGAGTGTATTTTAGGATTTTGTACTCCTTTTATTAAACTGTGTCTGTATACACGTGTACATGTACACAAATACGTGATGTGGTCTTCAAATGAGAAACACACCATTTTTAAAAGTTTTTGAATAGAATATGTTTAAAGAAAACCCTCTTCTTTATGACAGGGACAAAGTTTCTTAAAATTTCCCCTTTAATATTGTGAAATATTTATTTTATAAAGTAGCTTTCATAATCAGCTTAAATTGAAGTAGGTAAACACTGCCACCAAAGAGGAATTCACACTTAGTTTTCAGCCATATCTGCTACTTGATAAAGTGTTATACAAAAAATAGCCAGAGAGAGAGGAATGTGACTAGATTTTTCAGCTTCAGGCTGCATTTAAATCAACCTTTTTGAGGATGGTTTTATCATCAGTTAATGGTAAAATAACCTTCAAGGGTCAAAATGTGGTGTCTTGATTCTCCACGAGGGACTCATGGATTGATGAGTTGCAGTAACAGGTTGTCCTTTAAACATTTTGGTCTAACTTTGCTTTGCTTTCATGCCAGGTACGGAACAGGCTGTTTCTTGCTCTGCAATACAGGTCAGAAGGTCAGTTGCATTTTTTAGTTGTTCCCTTTTATTTTTTTTACAATCTTTATTTAAGTTCTCTAATACAACTGTATGTTAGCCTTTCTTAGACTTACTAACTACAATCATGTTGCCAGACATAAGGAAAAGCACAGACTGAAATCTGAAAGAATAGAAAATAGTTGTTTGTTGAAGGTATTTCAGTAAGACTCCATTTCCTAGCTCATTAAGTGTCCAAACAGAACTTTTCATAGCAAGTTTCTTGCTCTTTCCCTATACAAGTTTCTTAACGTTACCCAGAGAGGCTCAAGTGTTGTGTTACTTTAACCACAGGCCTTCTTCCTTCTCTTGGCTATTTTATTTCTTCTCTTTACTTTTCTCTCATTATTTCTTTGTAACTGGAGTTGAATAAATAACTCAAAGCTTTGGCTTCCTTCTCATTTCCATCTCCTTCTAAAGATCCCCAATTCTTTGCTATAAGGAGGCTGGAAAGATCTGTGGCAGCTTGTGGAAATGAGAATTAGCACCACCAATCTGAGGGTTCTATGACAGGTGTTTATTTAGAGGGACTGATAATGTACTTTGTTTAAACTTTCCATATTTCATTTGAAGGTTTCGTTTCTTGTTTATTATAATTTGAATGTTTTAATGTAAATATTTCCTGCCTCTGTTCATGCTTTACCTTTTTTTTCCCATTTCCTCATTTAGTCTGTGTTTTCTGAGCATGGTCTTATAACCACAATAGCTTACAAACTGGGCAGAGACAAACCTGTTTGTTATGCACTAGAGGTAAGTTCAGTAGTTTCTTCCTTTTTTAGTGATACATGTTCTTGTTTACTTCTGTTATCTGGTATTTTTATGTTATCTGGAGCTGCATGGAAATGTTTTAGCTTGTGTGCCTCAAGGTTTATGTGTGGTTTTGGTTATCTCTATCTCCAATCTATATCATATAATCTAATAAAATATTTCTTCATTGCTTCATTTATATTTTCAGAGCAAGATGGTGAAAACTTTTCTTTTGTTATTCATTCTCTCAAATCCTTAATGAATGTTATAAATAAATAAAACAGAAAGATTTCTGTACTAAATTTGGTTTAAGAAACGAGGGGGGAAGTACTAGTGTTTCAGTTATCTTCTCATAATAAAAGTCATAACTAAATGTTTTTTATTTCATTGTAATGAATTTTACTTCTACTTTTAAAAATCTGAACCAAATTTCTGGGACGAAAATCCTCTAACAATTTAGGGGTTTTTTACCTACTTAGATTTAGATGCCTACTTACAGAATTTAGTTCCTTGGTTCTCCACACAAGTCTGAGGGCATCCAAATTCTGTAGAAAATTGTATTTTTACATCAGGGTTCATTGTTTTAAAGCTCTGCTGCTGAAGCACAGATCAGCTGAGCACCTATTTGGCACTAAAGCTTTATTGGGAACAGCAAAATAATTACTCTTCCACCTGTGCTGCTTAAGTGGACTAACTATTATAATCTAATAGTTATTCTCGAAACAGATATACTGAATTCTCTGCTGATGTTGAGCTTTTGCAGACACCCTATGTTTTCCATGAGAAACAAAGACAACACACAGAATTTTTTTCACTGGGAGAATAGTTTGTGGCTTATAGTACTTTACTAGGATGTAGGAGGCTGTGTTCATTTCCTTCCCTAAGGAAAGTGAATCTTGCATTTGCCATGTTCTGTCAAGCTTTGGGATTTTTATTTTGTGTGGGTGTGTGAGAGGTTTGTTTTATTTTTAAGCCATGTTCTGGAACTGTCTTGAGAGTGATTTTTATTTCTGCATGCTGAAACACATGCACGTGTGCTTTGCTTCTTCGCCTCCACGTCTTTATTGATATTGTCTGAAAACATGGCTTCAACAGAAGATGTTGAGTGTCTTTTATCCTGTATCTATGATAGAATCATCCACAGTCTGCTGCTTAAGACACTTCCCAGAAAGGCAAAAAATATGGATTCAGCCTTTTCTTTTAAATCAAACTGGTATCTTGTAACAGCAATAGCCAGCTGCTTAGAAAACACCCCTGCCCCTTCCAGCAATGGCTTTGAATGAAAATACAATGCTGCTCCTGTTTTACTTGACGCTTGGTCTGGTAAACTTGAGATTGTCTTGTGGAGAAGTCCATTTGCACTTTGGAGTGAGATAAGAGCCATGTCATTTATCTGTGGTATGATGGAGCCATGCAGGGCCAAATTCAAAAATTCAGAGCAATTTTGCTGGCAAATGCACCAGTGCCTAAATTTTCTGTCTTTCTGGGCATTTGTATTTAGACTGGATGTAATCAGTCTTGTTTCTTTAAATCAAAGCATAAAAATCTTATTTTGTCAGGAAAAGAAGTCTGAGGCTACCGGACCTCAGAACTGTATATTCAGGAGAAGACATAAATTAGAAAGACAAGAAGACTGCTTAGGAAATGTCACTGTAACTTCCCCTCATGGAAAAAACCACACAATATGTACCTTTTCTGCATGGAACCTGTGTAATAGGCTGCCCTTTTTACACTGCAGTCTCTAGATGCCAAGAAACTTGTGGGTTAGTTGTGAGCATGCTTGGGAGTGCTTCAAGCTGTGATTGTAAGCCTGCAGTTCGAGGCCACAGCTACCCCTCCTCTCCAGTCGTTTAAAAAGGAACACAAAGCTACCAGTTGTTGTCTCCTAATGTGGTGATTTTGTTTCCTTCAGGGATCTGTTGCAATAGCTGGTGCTGTTGTTCGTTGGCTGAGGGACAATCTGGGTATCGCTAAGTCTTCACAGGAAGTTGGTGAGTATTTACAACTTGGAACTGTTCAGGTTTTAAAGTTTTCCAGTGTCATAATGTCTCTACTGGTGAATGAAAACTCAAAATATTAAAGAAAAGATGGAAGGTGCATGTATTTCGCTATTTAAGTAATTTGCTTTGCATCCATGAACTCACTGTTATTGATACATGTATTTCATAGAACCTCTCAATACAGCCTTGGAAACTTTGTTCTTTTGCAATCTGTAATTTTAGTAGTTTCCCTAGCAAACAGATATTCAGTTGGATACTATATATACAATGTATCTCCTGGTTTCATGTGGTGTTGAATTTTCCAGAGTCAAGAGTATTTAAGTCTGCATTACAGAAATCAGCCCATATTTGATCCTGAACCTACATATTGTTGTCATAAACATGAGAACTTGAGGCCCTACATGTGCAATAATTTATGTAGAAGGCTTCATATCCATTGAGTTAGAGACCTCAGTTTGCAAAGTTGCCTCTTAAAAGGAGTTGTGAAGGAGAGTAATCTGTTTTGGCTAAGAATACAGTAATCCTTTAGCAGTTGCACAGCTGATGTTTTCTGATTGAGCTGAACTGAACAAACTGGTGTGTGACATTATAGAAACTGGGAATATATCAAATTTTGGAAAAGGAAAAAATATCAGAAGCATGCAAGGGCATAAGTTTGAAAATGATTAATTTAATAAGATTTAGGACTAAAAAGAGATTCCTTACATATTTTTAATAATTTGATATCTCATTGAAAGTTGGAAAAATTTAGAATTAAAATTTTATATAAAACTTCAAAGATTAAGCAAAAACTTAAAACATCATTATGTTTTTCTGAAAGAAAACTTTGCAGATCATACAGCAGAATATAAACTACTGTCACATGAATTAGTCAGTTGTTGAGACACTACAGTACCTCTTCACAGGTTTGACTAGACCGTTGGAAGGTTTCAGTTTCAAGAACTTTAACCTTATTAGTGTTGGTAAAGTCATGTAGGACTTCATCATCTCTTTGTGTTTCCCTAAACATGTCCTTCCTTCTCCCTTCACTCCTTTTTTAAGTGGAGTCTGTATAAAAGTACCATTTTAGAAAGACTTCTTTAAGTTTTCCTGCTATTTTTGTCTAGTACTATACTCCTCTGATCAATGCAAACAAAAAATTTACAAAAGCAGAAAAAAAATGCTTTGCTTTCTTGTTCTAGAAATGAGCTGCACATAAGCATTATTTCCTTTGCAGTTCTAGATGTCTTAATATAATTTTTTTAATTACAAATATTTTAGTATTGAGTTCATATATCCACAGTTATTACTCAGATATTAAGAAACTTTAGAATTCTTTGTAGGTGGCCTTGTGATTTATATACGTAAGCTGAGAATTTGGAACTCTAAATTCATTTGAAGTTAATGGGAATTTAGTTCTTAACTCCCTTTGGTCTTGATCCAGTTTCACTTGCTTGTCTTGACTCAAATGTAAGAAAAGTGTGACCTTTTGGACTGCTTTGAAGATTGCATTCTTTACTCACAGGATAACCTTTGAAAACCTCACGGAATCTAGGTCAGAATATTGAGCACATAATTTGGGGGTTTGGTTTTGATTTTACATTTTACATTTCCCACAACTCCCTATGCTCCATATTCCATTCATACTGTTGCAAACAGAAAATTAGTTAACAAGGAGCAGCGTGCCAGCACTAGTTGTATTTTTTAATTGTATACATGGCTGATTATTTTTGTAGCTACCTAATATATTCTGAATATTTTTACAATTTAAATAATAACACTTTTAAGTGATGTATTTAAGTGTTGGTACAGTTGTGAAAAGCTAACTGAAGCCTGTTTTTGTGTGTGTGCATTAGAAAAACTGGCTGCAGAAGTGGGGACTTCTTATGGCGTCTACTTTGTGCCAGCATTTTCAGGACTGTATGCACCATACTGGGAACCCAGTGCAAGGGGGTAAGGATCTGACTGAACACTGCATTTGCAGAGGATTTTAATCATTTTGCAAATCTACCACGCTTGTCCTTCCAGGCATGGGAAATTGTTCTTTTTGTTCCTTTGATGTGTCCAGATACATCATTCTCTGTGGTATCTTAAAGAAACTACTGAGTTTCTGTTTCGTATTTAACCTGTTCAAAACAGCAATTGCTACTGGGAGAAAAAGAAGGATTAACCAGCTCAGCTACTCATCCTCCTCACCCCTTCTTACCCCCCTCTGAAAAAAAAAAAGGAGGGGGGAAGGAGGGCAGGGAAAACAATTTCTGGTTCTGAAAGGATTTTCATCTCACTAAAATTAGAAGAGGAGGTCTGCATTCTTGTGAACTGTCAGGTAACAAAAGTAGGAAAGGAAGAATATAGTGCTGATTAGTCGTTTGAGTTCAGTTTCAGGCTACTTAAATCCTTCTGACTTTTTCTCCTTCCCCTTATACCCAGCTTTCTTTCCAGTCTATTGAAAACTCTTTTCTACTCCTTTTTTCCAGCCCCTTTCTGGATAGTTCAGACGTAACTAGCTGTAGCAGTAGCCTTTCATTTGTCTTTTCTGCTGTTGTAAGCTTGCCTACTGTTCCTGGAATCACACGTGCCATGGGAATCACAGAAGCATATAAATTTATATATAAAATAACTTCCCTAAAGTGAGAAAAGAAGTCCTAAAGGATATCTAGTTCCCAAGGTTTCAAGTAGTTTCATCTTCAGAATTTATATGCTTCTTGTACGTAAGTAAAAAGAAGAATCTTTGAGATAGATGTTTTTACCATTTTTCAGATCACAGTGCTTAACTTTTTGTCTGTTAAAAGCTGATCTTTGGAATGGTAACAACTAAAAATGCCCTTTAATATCTTTGAACTTGCATGTATCCATGTATACCAAATACAGCAGCTTTTCTGTGTAGCATACTGCTGTTCCTTGAATGCTGAAATAGGATAAAAGGATGGTTATTTGCTCTGCTGCAGTTCAGAGTACATTGACAGAATTCATCTTACTCGTGGGTAGATTTAGCAGAATTTCCATATCCAAAAACCTCTTTGAAGGTTCAGAAACAATGAATGGCCAGAAAGATTTGAAAACAATTTCAAGCATTTAGAGCACAGCACTGACCCAAACTGTGCTTTTCCATAAGAACTGAAAGCAATAGAGAATTTATTAAGATTATAGTGATAATTAATATTATTTTTAAAGAGAAATCAGTCTCAATTAAACTTTTTTTTTAGGCAGACTAGAATTTGTGGGGGTATTTGTGTGTGCGTATGGGCGAATATACATCCATCTGCATGCAGATTGGCAAAACCAAATTAATTTATGGCACCTTAATTGATTGGAGCCTGAAAGCACCTTTGTAAGGAAAAGGAGAGAGTTTAGATTAAAGAAAAACAAGCTTTTTAATATTAAAAAGGAGTCCTCATACAATGGACTGTATGAGCTTTGAATTAGAAGACCTAGGTCTGAAGTAACAGTGTATGTCTGCTAAGAAGTGTGTCCTAACTTTGTTTTTTTTTCTCTCTCAACAGTATTATCTGTGGCCTTACTCAGTTTACAAATAAAAAACACATCGCCTTTGCTGCACTAGAAGCTGTCTGCTTTCAAACACGAGAGGTAAAGGAAAATTGGGTCCTAAATTCATTGTAAATTAGTATGATAACAGGAACTGTAGCTCTTCAGGAAAAGAAGAGATTTAAAAGATGTAATGAAGTTTAATCATATGCTTTATATTGTACCTCAATGCTATTCTTGTCTTTGCTTATTGCTAATGTTGAAAAATTGTTCCTGTGGATTTATATAAGATTGACTGGTACATTTTTTTGGAGTGGCAATGCTGCCTTTTATCAGCACTTAAAATATGGTGAACATATTTTGTGAATATTTTGAGAGGCAGAACATAGAAATATTAAAATGGCAAGGCCAACGCCATAACTACAAAGTTTCATTGGTGTAGGAGACTACATTTTACATTGTCTGCTGTGACAGAGGTGGCTTATATTGCTTCTGGTACACAAGAACAAAAATGAGTTAAAGTGAGACAACAGCAAACATACCAAGGGAAATCTGTGTTCACTTCCTGCCCATTACATCCTTCACTGCCTTAGCTGGAATCCTGCGACAGCAAACCAAAATTCTCACAGAGGAAATTAATCCCCCAACCAAATCAAAGGGATTGATATCAGTGTGGGCATTTGATTCTTTATATCACCATCTACTCCTCCCTGTGTTTGCATTCAGGGTAAAGTTACAGGGAACTAAACTGACAGTCTGGTTTGTTGTCTGCTTCTCTTTCCTTGTCTGTTCTCCCATCCATTCCCTCTCATGTGACAGCTCAATGAACTTTCCAGCAGAAAATTATCCCTCTTTTTGCTGGGCTATTTTTCCACTGGATTAATGACCTCAGCTGCCTTGCAAAGGAGTGCAGCAAATGTCAGAACGTGAGACAGGGCATGTGGCTGAGAGTAGGAAAAAGGAGAATAAAGCTCTTACACTGATTGAGGGTGAAGTTTACTGTTTGAGCAGATCTAATACTCCCCCATACTTTAGCCAATGTGCTTTTATCACAGTGACAGGAGTGCCTAATCAGGTCTCTGGACACACTTAAATTAACAGATTAAGTCCTATTGGCACAGATAAAATATGTATACATTTTTCAAAGATACATCGTTAGTTCTGTCTTGTCAAAAACAAAGTTCTTCTAATTCCAGTTAAAATGGAAGTCTTCAGGAAATCCCTCAAATTTCACATCCATTGGAGTTCTTGCCTGTTTTATTGTGACATTCTGAGTACTTTATAATTCAAAAAGCTCCTTCCTTATGCAGATAGATGATACTTGTTGTGTTTTTTCTTCCTGAAGGCATTATGGAAAAATAAGCAATTTTTCAGTTCTAAGAGGTGTACAATGCTGTCATTAAACAAAAGTTGCATAATTGCTTTTCATCCAACCTCCATACAATAGAGATAGCAGCAGCCTGGTTATGATTTGTTTTATTCCTTTATCTTCCTTGTTTACAACATTATTTTAATTTAATTTTAATCTCTACTGAGTGCATGATGATCCAACATGCTCTTTCACAGTGACAAACAAAACTAGAGCCTCCAACAGCGCTGAAGTTCTGAATGGTAAAATAGGCAGATAATATGGAGTTGAACAAATGTAAAATGATATATATGAAGGAAATAAGTGGTGGAGAGCAGTGCTAGTGTGCACTGCCAGCAAGCTTTGCTGCTGTGCTATGAGGTCTGTTTTCCTGGTTATTTCTAGTGCAGGCCCATGGACAGATGCTGCCACCGTGAAAACTGGCCTTACTCTTACCTTGTTATTTCTAACCTTTATTTATCCTGTGGCAGTTTCTTTAGTTCCTTTAAAGATGTTGTGGTAAGGGACCTTACTTATTTACTTTCTGGGAATAAGGAGAATCTACTGGACAGTTTGTCTCTATGTAGTTTTTTACTACCTTGCAAGCCTACAAGTTTTTTATTCTTTTTTAAATAGCATGTTGACTTTTCCCAGTAAGGATTGTATAACTGGGTACTTTGTGAGCTACAGAACAGGGCAGAATGTGTTGTAGTTTTGGTCTTTTTTGTGATCTGTGTTGCTTTGTCATTTAAAGCTGAGAAAAACACATCTCCTTTTTATTCAAATAAATTGAAAAATTACAGAGAGAAAATCATTCTGCACTTGTTAATCCCTAACTTGTAAACAGAAATTATGTACTAACCTTACAAAGTGCATATGAGACTTTTAACTGACTGTTTTTACAAAACCCTAGAAAACCCACTATTCTGTATTTAATGGTGCTTGTAGGGTAATGCTGTGGTGTTACCAGTAGCTAAGGTTTGAGGCAAACCTTATGTTTTCAGGAAATCCTCTAAAAAGCATATTGATAAGTATCAGTGAATTAAATGCTCCACTCATAGTTAATTAGCCTTTTTTCAGCTATCGGTTGTGCTCAAAAGAAGGAAACATAGTTTTATAAAAAATTACACTAACAGTTTATTTTTACTGTCTATCTGGTTTAATGTAAAATTCTCAGTTTTCAACAACTAACACAAAATATTTGAAAAGGCTACTCTTTCAAAAGAGTTCAACATTCCTCAGTTCCTACTGAAATGTCTTGTAGGTTGCCAGGTCCATGTTTTAATCTCTCAATTATTTAATGCATCAAATTAGAGGAAGTATCTAAACAACCTAGCTCAGCTAAAGGACTCCATTTATTATTGCTTCTTCCTTTGTTATCTTTAAAAAATGTTGTAGTTGTCATCAGCTTTTCTTCAAAATTCTTCTTCTCAGGCCACACGAGCAGCACATAAGCTACATAGAGAGCATCAGAGAAGGATTCCTACGCTAGGATTTCTGTAATGAATAGATGCATGTGCTGTATAATAAACAAAACTCTATTGTCACTACTTCTGTTTTGCTCTTTCAATATATAGGAGAGGAGAATGATGTACTTAATGCTCTTCAGCAAGTGCTGAAGTATCAGTATTTAACACTCAGAGAGTATTATGTATTTCTCTGCAATTAAGTCGTAATGTATGTTACTCTTACTTAAGATTTTAGATGCCATGAACAAGGACTGTGGGATACCACTAAGTCAGTTACAAGTAGATGGAGGAATGACCAATAACAAAATCCTCATGCAACTCCAAGCAGACATTCTTTGTATTCCAGTAGGTAAGATGAAATTGCAGCTCCTATTTTCTTTTTAAAGCTGCTGAGAGCAGATTGGTTGCCTTGTTCAGTTGTTTTTAGATGGATACATAAATCTTTAGTTCTAATGTCATCAAAGTGACTTTCATTACAAATTGTCATGATCCTCTCTGTGCTTTATTTCAGTAAAGCCATCAATGCCTGAAACTACAGCTTTAGGAGCTGCTATGGCAGCAGGAGCTGCAGAAGGAGTTGGAGTTTGGAGCCTGAATCCTGGAGATTGGACAGCAGTGACATCTGAACGATTTGAACCACAGCTCAACCCAGAGGGTAAAACCTTTTTATGTTATCTGAGTTGCAAACTTATCTTTTGACCAACAAGTCAGGTTTTTTCTTTATTGCAGTCTGACATACTGATATAAAATGAATATTCTATGAATATCCTCAAAAATGTTGAAGATCAAGTTGGTGGTGTTTGGCTTAGAGAAAAGTGCATTTCCATTGCTCTTTTCTGCCCACATTGACCAGTAAGATTGGAGGATGGTTAAAACAATGTAGCTCCATCGAGGAATATGTTGGGGTTTTTTTCTGTTTTCTCTTTCAAAGCAGCTTGGCACTGGGCATTGCAGTCAGTAGCTTTGGATTCATAGCAAGCAAAATCAAAGAAATCTTGAAAATTTTTGATGTGAAAGATGTCTTCTAAGCTCCTGTGCATTTGTGAGTTTTCACAGATGTAGAAAGGACAGACTGACTGTTTTGGGGAGATTCCTTTTTTTGGCTTTAAAAAGCTTACATTAATTAATGGGTTTTAACCAACTATCTTTTTCATCAGTTCCTAAGTGCTTGTAGAGGTGGAAAGTACGTACTTGACATAATTAATCCCTGTGCAAGACAAATGCTTTTTTGTCTTTTCAATTTCTTAATTTTTGGTACATACTTTTGTCTTACAATTTGATTATAATTACTTCTACAATCCCTACTTCAAGACAACATTTTCAACATTGAAGGGTTTCTACACGAATATCAATTGCTTCATTTTGTCCTGCTTGTAAATCTTCTTAATGGTGAACATGCAGAAAATTGATTTTATTTCTTCTTACTGTGCATAACTGTGGAGTTTGGGGTGGAGGTTTTTTAATTCAAAAAAGGATTTTATAATGATTTTTCTGCAAACAAGTGATACTGTGCTAAAGAGTGGAAAACTAATATTGTAGTGTTTGGTTCTTAAATACTTGTGGTTGTATTCCTATGCATTGAGAGGCTTTTCTGTTTGCTGGTTCCTTAATTTCAGAAAGTGAATTTCGGTACGCCAGATGGAAGAAAGCTGTACTGAAATCTATGGGCTGGGAGACAGCTGAAGCTTCTTCAAATGGTAAACCAAAAATTAATGCAGGTTAAGTATTATTAATTAGCCAGTTAGCCTTTTCTGTTCATGCCATCTCTGGACTATTACAGTGATTTAAAGATCATTATTTAAAACCACTGTGGAAACAAAGCAGGAAAATATGTAGTTCTTCCTCTTGAAAGGAGGGCACAAATAATATCTTGTAGGGCTCTAAAAATAGAAAATATGAAATCAAGACTAACTGCAGGTTTTGCAGAGTGGCATTGGCTTACAAAAGAAAAAAAATCTTACCTAGAAGAGATACAGCACAATTCTAAGACATTGTAGGGATTTTGTAAACTGTCTTATACTATAACCTCATGTTTCAAAGGAGAAAAGTTTCATCCTGTGATTTTTCTTGCCATATCTTGCCTTTGTCATTTGCTGTATATTATAGAGGGATTGATATCCACATCAAAATCTATTTGACTCATAAGGCTTAAGAGCAAGAAGTTATCATAAAGTGAAGAATTGCATAGACCTATTGTTCACATGCAGAGAATATAAAAACACTCTTGAGGGACTGAACAAGATCTTTCTTTTGAAGTATAGGGCTTTCTCATCTGTCAGGTTTGAATTAAATTAAAGCTGCAGTCTTCTATGATCTATAATTTGAATTTATATTTGAACACTATTTCAGGATAAGTTTGCAGTCCTTAATCATCCTATAACACATCATTTGTGGGTTTTATCTCTATTTCATTTCCCTTTCATTGGAAAAACTGTTAGAATGAAAAGTATTAAGTAAAGAATCCTCAAAATATAAACTCCTCCCACAATCCAAAAGCTACAGTTGGAGCCCCAAAGCTTCATGAAGTCTCTTTATGCTTGAAAGCTAAAATTTTCCTTTCACCATCCTATATGTTGATTTAAGTATTTTATTTAACACCATGTTTTACAAACAAGTCTGCCAAGGCTACTGGGAAGGGAAACAAGTAATTTAGCATGAGCAACAGGTAATTTAGCATGAGCAACATGAATCACTTCAGAATCATATTCAGTCCATTATGATATGGACTCTGATGCTTCTCCTACTTATATATCTTTATTTCCTCTTGAAGAATAAAAAATTCTGCCTTGAAGAAAGTAAAACTTGATCTTTCCCTTCAGTTCATGTGAAAAGAGACATATTTATCAAAACTTATCTCAGTGATTGTCTGGTTTAACACCTGGGGGGAAAATGTTATTTTCCTTAGTTCTTGCTTTGAAGCTTTGTCTTCTGCTTGCTAGGGAGAGTTAAGATTGAAGAATATTAGAAATGGGCTCAACCTAGATAGTGCTGACAGTAGAATTTAGATTTGAATTCTTACATTGAGAGTGTGTTTTGAATTGTTGTGGGGTTTGTGCATAATTTTTTTAGTTTTTCTGTGAATGTCACTACATTTGTTATCTTTTGCTGTTCATATGATCTTTAACACATATATTGCAATTTATATATATTTCTCTTTTGATTTGCTTGACTGGAAACACCCTCCCCTGGATGACATCAGGTGACACTAGTATCTTCTCTAGTCTGCCTTTGGGTCTTTTTATTATGAGTAGCATGGTAATGTTAATTGGAGCAAAGTACGTCTCAGGTTAGTTATTATTTGATCTAGATCCCTTTAAAACCTGTCTGCACTAGTTTAAGTGTTGGGTTGGGGGGTTTTTGTATTCCATCTGTTTGTTTCCAGCTAAAATTACTGATGCTTTTTGTTGTTCATGCACACGAATGTTTGAGGGTGTGAATCAGACATAATGCACCGAAGGGAGCCAAGTGAAGGCCATTTCAAATTCATCCTCATGTGCCATGAAATTTGTAGTTGTTAGATGCACATGAAACCTTGAACTCTCCCCTCCCTTTGTATCTATGCAGATTGTACAGTTTATAAAAGGGATATAGGTTTGGGCAGCCTAGCAGAGTTTTGCATTGCCTGCATTACAGTGTGCATTGCAGTTAGAATAAGGTTCCATCCTTTATCCTGTATTTCTTCTTGTAATATCTCTAATTATTTTGAGGATCTTGTTTAAATGAAGACTTTTTCTTCTGTGCCCAAAAGGCTTCATGCACCTCTTTGGTTTTTTTGGTCCCCTTGGAACTACTGTATTGTTAGAAATCTTCATCTACTAAATCTATAAAATATTCTTTTTGTACTTTGCTCTTGATGTATAAGTGAATTAATCTTGTCTAGAAGAGGAGACCCTAAAAGGCTTATCTGCAGAACTGGGGAAGGGACTGTGTGCATATGCAATGAAGATGCATCTTCAACTTATTAATATATGATTTATTTTAAAAGAAAATTCTTAATATGGATGACATTGTTATTTACTTATACCAGAAGTAACACATCTCATTAAAATATTCTTAGAGTGAGAAAAAGAAGTTCATATGTTGCTGTCATTTCTTCTTTGTTGTTTCAGAATTTCATTCCAAAGAAAGTATTTTACAGTATAGGCATTGTTGCTGCTTAGTAAGCTGTTTGGGGGTGGTTGTTTGGTTTTCTTTCTTTGTTTTGGTTTTGGTGGGATAGGCAGGGGGTGTTAATTAAACAGACAATTGAGGACTCTAGCATGCTCCTATGATGATGTGTTTCTATTTTGTTTCTACTCATTCAGCCTGAATTAACTATTCAATTGTTATTTTCCTTGCATGAAATGGACTGTCAGAGCTTGTAGGAGAACTAAAATCAAACTAAACAAATGCTAGGCAAAAATCAAACTGAACAAATGAACTCACATTAATTTACTAACTCTGGAATGTATCTGTGAATGAGAAAAATCTAAAAATCTTGATTGTGAAGAATAAAACAAAAACAACTGTGAATAAGTGGGTAAATTTTTAACAAGCACAACAAAGCAACTTGAATATAAATTCCAGGTCAATTTCTTCACCACATGGAGGATACCTAAAATAATATGAAAATCAATGATAAGCGAGGAGATAAGCAACTTAAATTTTGGATTTACTGCTTTTGAAAAACAACTAATCACTAACCTGCATATAAATATCTAAACTTGCACTGCTGGAGCTCATAAGAAAAGATTTCTTTTTCTCCCTTCCTTAAGCTTGTCAATGCCCTTCTGACCCACAAGTGGGAAACATCCCAGCTCACTGTGGCCTTAAGAAACCATTTTGTCCCTGTTTTCAGATAACGGTGACTATCAATATGGTTACTCTTACTATGTATGTATAGTTGCTATATATACACCAACATAATTACTTTATATAATAACATATTGGTTTACTATTTACATGGTAAGCTTTGGGATGGGAGAAGTTGTGAAAAATTTCCTGCTCATATTTGTTTTAAAAATTATGATGTCTTAAAAGAAATAGCAACAGCGATGATATGTACAGGTTGTAGTTTTGCCCAGCTATGTTCTAGGGTAGAATATGATATATAGAATTTCTGTTGCTGATTGGAGCAGGGCTGCTTTCCCCTTAGACAATTTGGTAAATATTGTTTTGCTTTTAAAAGCCAGAACTTGCTGAGCAGATTTTCCTCCTAATTCAGTACAGAAACTCCATTTAATTAATTTGTTACATTCTATCTTTTAATGAAACACTGGAACTCCAACACAGTGTAGTAGGTTTGAGAATTGAATTTAGTGAGGACTGAATTCATCCTTCATGTGCTAAAACAGCAGTAAGTCTTGCATGGCAACAGTCCTGTTGCTGAATGTGTCTCTCTAGGGCAGGGCCATGATTTTATAGCTGCTGAAACACGAAGGAAAAATCTGCTGCGCCAGAATAGAGAACACTAACGTGGCAAAACTCCATTTACAGAACTGCTAAGCTGCCTTTTCATGTGGCATCCGATGACTGAATTTGAAGAACAATACTGTATTCCATTATATCATTTCATAATTCCATCAAAATCCAGTCAATTACTTGTACCTTATTTTATGATCTTCATTCTTCTCTCCCAGGGGAGAAAGGGTCGTTAGTTTGTTTTATTTCACTATTGAAGCAAGCTGTGTATAGCAACTGGAATACTTATGCTAAGATTTTGTTAAGTTTTTCACGCTGGTTTTGGAAGTAGACACCTGAGAGATTTCAATATATTTTATAGCTGTACATTTTTTTTGGTGGGATGAGGGTAGAGTTACCTATAAGGATCCTATATTTTATTAGACTCAAGTTTAAATAAATGCCTTTTCGTACTTCAATTGGCATCTCTCAAGTGAGATATAGCAGGGATTGGCTATATATGGGATCTTATGTGACATCCTTTGACTTTATTTTCACAGAATGAAATGTCAGTGCTGATCGTAATACTGTATTCTTCCGGCTTACATACCCTGTGGGGGTATTTTTAATATTTTGTTTGTCCTTTTTAATTTCTTATGTTGTGATAGTTACTGCCAAATTGCATACTGATTTACATATAGGGATAACTATGCAGTTCTGCAAGATAATTGCAATAATATTTCCCAAATTTCTGGAAGCTGAGCTCTTATTCAGAAGAAAATATGCTTAGATTGCCTTTCTTCGATTCTTCTACTTGTTAAAAATTTACCCATCTTAATCGTGTGGTCTCTGCTCTCCTGCTGTGTTCACATCCCACACACTTAAGCACTGGCTTATTTGGTGTCACAAGACACATCTAACTTATAATTGCAGTAATTGAAAACAAAAGTTGGTTTTACTGAATTCCTCTTACAGCTCAGCTGTGTTATAAAGTATTGTTAACGTTTTAGAGTAAATTCTATGTTCCTAATGCATGCTTTTTCTTTTTTAAGATAAATGAGACTACTTAGTGGACATGACGGATGCAGCTGATTTTTTTGTCGCGGTTTGTTTTGTTGTCGGAAGAGATTCTACCATCAACGTGATTATGCTACTTGTGTGGTTCAATATATTCATGAATCCACCTGTCACCAGTCTCTGAGTAACCTTCCAGTGGTGCACTGAAAATTCAGTCTTCAGCCCTTCATTACTCTGTTCCCTTCCCCATCAACTCCAACTGCACTGGAGGCCTTTGCGTGGAGTATCACACGTCATCCTCTAAAATTTCACAAGCCCAAGGTTTGTTTGAGAAAGTGGTATAACAAAAACCTACAGTCTCCGAGGTAGTGATGGCAGATGTTTAGCTGCCCCTTTCCGGGGTTTGGTACTTTATGCAACACACTGCAGAAAGTTAATGATGCACTATAGAACTTTGTAAACATCTTACAATTCTTCCTGCTGCTCTGAATTTTCATAGGTCTATGGTTGCCAGAGATGTTTTATTGTAGTGGCCACTGGTCTGAAACACCTTCAGTGGTACAAACCTTTGAAACACTAGCCCAGAATGGCTAACCAGTAGCACATGGTCCCACTGGTTTGGCAATGAATAGGTTGCTGATATGGCCCACAGAGTACTGTTGAAGTGTTCAACCACAAAGTTTAAAAGTTCAGTTTAGCCTCTGCCACATTTACCCATGATAAGTATTTAAGACTCAAAGTCATGTAGTTGTACCTTTAAAGAGATGGGAGTAAAGAGGTGTTTTGTTTAAGGCCATGTTTCGTCTTCATCTAGTTTAGAAAGACAAGTTTGACTCAGCATGATACGTGATAGGACAGCTGCTTGGTCCTCACCAACTGGGAACTCTTAAAGCTACTCTGTACAATGCACTTTTCTTGACCAATACTGCACATATTCTGTCGTCCTGCTTAAGGATATTTTAGTTATAAATCGTTATATTTTTGAAAGTTGAAACTAACTTAGTTTTCCTTAAAGAGGGTCCACTCCAAACTAAATATTAGTGCTTTAGTTCTTGATTTCATTTAGTATATCTCAGGGACCACAATCTCCCTTTCGGTTTCCACCTTCATAGTTTTAACAGCAAGTTGTCGCAAAATATGCTGGGACAATCCAAACCCCTGGCTCAGAGGAGTAAGTACTTGGCACCTGAAATGGGCCACTGGAATTCACGATGTGCTTGTCAACTGAGTCACATCCACTTTGAAACGTTTCATTTTCCACGTGTAAAGGAGTGAGACAATAATCTTACCTTCAGCTTTCCTGTTTGTACCAACAGCATCCCAAATGCCAGCCCTATTGGTTAGGTCAGAGAAAAGGTGTTCTTGTATAGTGCCCTTAGATGGGTATGGAATGGTAGCGAGGCTAAATGTGGGAACAACATGGAGAATTTGAAAGGTGTGTTTAAATGCACTAGGAATTAAAGGGAGCATTTTTGTGTACATTTATTCTTAAAGATTTTTGTTTTTAACAAAGTTTGTTTTTCTTTGTTAAACTATGATTAGAGGCTTAGTTTTTAAAAAGATGTTAAATATATGTGTCTGAAGCAATGGATTGCACAGAAGTTCGGGTCTGTACAATATATTTAATATCAAGTGCATATTAATTGCCTTTTTATTGTCAAGTGCAATGACCTTTGAAATGTGACTTTTAATTTAGAAGTTAGAGAAGGAATATTTTCGTTCTGTGGTTGCATGTATAACTTCAGCAGAGAGGGAGGATTTTTGTGCACAGGTGAAAATACATCATTCAAATCCTGTCTCTTCTGTAAATACTTGTATGTGAGGTGTGACAGCTAAAGTTTCTGATGTTTCCACTTTGTATTGGAGAGGTGAGGAGTGAAAAAAGAACATGTTCCCATAGAAAAATCTTCATACTTCTTACCTTTACTCTGAGCTGTTGCTGACCCCGCCATACCCCAAGGAGGAGGAGGAACAGCAGCTTGTGGAGCACAGGGGGCAGGGGCAGCACACACCTCAAGCACTGGACTCCTGAGTATGATGTCTTGCCAAAATCACTGAAGTGCTGAACCTGGGAACGATTAACACTGACATGTTGCCTTTGCCCGTGACACATGAGGCAGGGGAGAAGCTCGTACATTACAATTAGGAGAAGGATTTTTTGCTGCTTTTCTGACTTATCTTTTACTGGAAAACACAATTCCTATTAATTTTTCACTGAGTAAAAATCATTATTTTATTTTCAATTGCTGTCGCAAATGTTTTTTAAGAGTTTCACACCACTGTTAACTTTCTACCAACATAGTAGAAATATATTGTAAACTGCCTGTTGGTGGGGAGGGGACAAACTGTTCGAGTTAGCTTTTTGTGAAGCTGTGATTTATTTTTTTCTATAAATTACGAGTTTATAAATTCTTAATTGAGAAATGCATTAACTTGGTATTAAAGTACCATAAATTAATTGATATAAGGTGTTGGTTTACTCTTGTATGTTATCTTTTGGAAATATTGTCATTATCTCTCTCACAGACGTGCTTTAACTTGCTTAGATGTACAGGTCAAATATATGCAGTACTGCCTTCTGTTTCAGAGATACATTTAGTCTCAAGGACTGGATCAGGAATCACATTTCCTCAAGTACCTCCATGTTCAGCAAAAAGCAGGAAAATACAAGTAAAACAGAAGGTAGGAACATAGTACAGGTTTGGTCCAAAGGGATGGTGGGGCCGATACACCAAATGCTTTTTGGTCTTATCACATTCTGGTGATTGCTACAGATTCAAAGCTGTTATGAGCTGGAGGGAGAAATGTCCATGAAATGGGGCACCAGCCGTAGGGTACATAAGGTATTTCTGTTATTTTAAGAAAGAGACATGGGGGTGTAGGTGGTGGGTTCATTGAAGGAGTGTGCCTGCCAGATTCTTATTTATTCTGTCTGTTTGTGGCTTCCAGCTGTTTTCTACACATGTAGTGCTCCATGATTATACAAGGATATAGCCTTCATTTGTAATCTGCACAAATCTTTAGTCCCCTATATCGAAATCTGTTGTGTGAGTCAGAAACAACACACACACACACACACGCACCCTGGAAACAAAAAGGCACTTAAATTTCACATCAGCACCCCAACTTTAAGTAAGATGCTATTACTCTTACTCAATATCAGGCTTCTCCCTTGGCTCATGAGACTCCAGTGTTTTCCTTTCACACGGCAAAGGTACAGCCTTGCCCTTAACTGCCCTGCACCAGAGTGTACTCAAATTCTGTGACTCATCAAGCTGGATTATTATGAGATTAGAACTTTATTAATTTAATTAGTATCAGAAGTTTATAAATAAGTTTTGTTCAGCGAAGGCTAATACAATGTTTAGTCTATTACTTGAACTCTATGCAGTATAAACAAGCTTCTTAATATCCATGTCAGCATCCAAGGTATAATCTTTCCCTCTAAAGAACCCTAGATCTGTATCAAGTGTTGGAATGCTGTCCTATTACAAGCTGCAGCCTGGACCCAGTATGATTTTTTTTTCTTAATTATTATTGACTGGACTTTATAGAAGTAGTACTCATCAGTCCTGGAGATACAGACAGGCAAATGAGTAGCAGTCTTTTAAAGCTGGGAAGTGGCACCGGAACACTGCTGGAATGATTTGTCCAGATGGACCTATGCTGTCCTGAGGGAACTCGCCAGGCTGGAGAAAAGGGCTGGCAGGAACCTGACAGAGCTCAGCAAGGGAAGTGTGAAGGCCCACTCCTGGGAGGAACAAACCCAGGCCCTGGGACATGCCAGGGGCTAACCTGCTGGGAAGCAGCTTTGCAGAAAGAGTTCTGGAAATCGTGGTGGATGCTATGTGGAACCACTGTTTGCAGCAATCGCGATGAAGAAGGCAAACAGCACCTTGGGCTGGATCGTCACTAGCAGGTCAAGGGAGGTGATCCTTCCTCTCTCCTCAGCCCTGGTCAGACATACCTGTTGCACAGAGAAGTTGTTGATGCCTCATCCCTGGAAGTGTTCAGTGCCATATTGGATGGGGCTGTGAGCAACCTGGTCTAGTGGAAGGTGTCCCTGCCCATGGCAGAAGGGTTGGAACTGGATCATCCTTAAGGTCCCTTCCAGCCGAAACCATTCTATGATTCTGTGACACCTGGAGTGCTGGAACCAGCTCTGGGATTGCCAGTGTGAGAGAGACACAGGCATACCTGAGGGATACCTGTGGCAGGCCACAAAGATGGATAAAGTGTTGGAGCATGTGTCATCTGGGAGAAGCTGAGACACCTGGGACCACTCAGCTTGGAGAGAGCTCAGATATAAATTCCTGCCACATACTAAAGGCCATGGAGCCAGACCCTTCTCAGTGGTGCCCAGTGACAGGACAAGAGGCAAAGGGCACAAGGAAACACAGGAAACCTCATTCAAACAAAAGAAAACAATGTTTTATTCTCATGGTGATCACACAAGGGAGGAGGTTGCTTTGAAGGGCTGTGGAGTCTCCATCCTCCAAGATACTCCAAAACCGATGGGACATGGCCCTGGTCTCACTGACCCTGCTCTGAGCAGGGTGTTGTCCCAGACAATCAGAGATGCCCTCCTGCCTTAGCCCATTAGGCCTGGTTAGGTCAGCCACAGCTCATCTCCAGCAAAGGCTCAAGGCTTGAGCTGGCTCGGAATAAACGCCAGGGAAAAGTCCATCCCAGTTTACTTGGACAAAACCAGTTCACTTTGTATGGATCAGTTGTCACCCACTGTTGTATTTCAACATTATTCAGCTGGCATTATCATTCTGTTACCCTGTGTACGTATTTGCTTTGGAAGAGTCAGGCCTATTGTGTGGGCTGATTATCTGGCTTGGTTTAGTCCTGAGAGACATTCTTTCAAGCAGCTGCAGTGTGAGTTCAAGTGGAATGATTGCTTTGGTCCAGTACCCTATTTTTCATAGGGAATTATACCACCAGGTGGTTCAAAGTAGCCCAAAAGGCAAGCATGGGATAACGTGTTTCCAAAGATAACACAGTTAAATTGCCATTAGCAAAACCTAAAAATGTGGGTTCCTTAAATTTTTGTAATAGAAAGAAATCAGTTTGGGAGTAATTTTTTTCTGTCTGTAGTGTTTATTCTTTAAACCTATGGGCTGCCGGTCTGGGGGTTCCTTCTCTGACTGTTGTTCAAAGTACATCC